AGGAAAAAGAATCAGAACAAAAAAGTGATTTGACCATAGAAGAGAAAATATGGTAGAACGTGGAAAAACAGAAGGAAGAGGGTAATGCAGACCAATAGCCTGCAATGGTATACACAGAGAAACCCTTGTCAAACAACCAATATAAGATGTCTGAAAAAAGAGGGAGAGTAGGTCAGGAAGGAATGAGGCCACAATGTAGTGATCAATGGCAAAAAACATTACATTTATACTGATAGACAGATAGAGGAAGGATGGACAGAAAGAGAAATAAGAGAAACTGGATGGTACATATGAATGGATGACACTAGTATACGTGAGGTTGACAAAGGAGAAATGGGGAAGGAGGAAGAGATAAAGGTAGTGTTAACTGTAGAGGCTGAAGAAATGGAAACCAAGTTTGAGCTGACCAAAATAGTACTATCAGAAGTAGATTGAATGATGAACAGTACATGGAGGAAGAAGACAGATGGAAAGATAAACATAAAAATACAGGTTCTTCCAGTCTTGGTTGAATGCATCGACTGCTAAAGCTGAAAGATGCAGGAAAGTAGTCCACAAAAGAGGGAGTTTTGTACTCTGATGGGTGGCAAAAGCATCCATCTGGAGCATACCCAACAGAAGACCTATGAATTGAAGGACAACTCTGTGGGGATAATCCTGTTGGGACAAGATAACCAATCCACAACCAGGTTAAATTTACCAAGAATATGGAAAGCCTGCAGATGAATCCATTGGCTTTGGCCAATAAAGTCCAATGTTTGAAAATATAGGGACCAAGAACAAGTGCCCCCTGCTGGGTGATGTAAGAGATGACAGCTGAAGTATTTGTTAATGCAGGTGGGGGTAAGTATAAACTTAACTTTTTGAAGTTGCATAACACTAAATATCCAGAAAATTTTATCAAGTTGCAAAAGTTATATAGTTTAAATTTCATAAAATGTAATTTTAACAATTAGTTTCATTGTGTATATAATTTTTTAAACATAATTCTTACACCTTGTTTTGTTCATCTAAGAATAAGTTTATTAAAAATCAGTACAAAGACAAAAAAAGCATACCAATACCTCTCAACATGTACTGTATTTAAGTGAAAATGCTATAAAATCCACTTATTTACATACGGATTTTGTACATAATATTTACCTATACATAAACATACAAACATAAAGACCAGTTATTGTTTTTATAAAAGAGTAATAAAAAACATGGACAGTTCTTTGGAAATTATTTGTATAATGAAACAAATGTGCACTACAGAAGCATATTTATGCTGCATAACATTTTGTTACCAAATACAGTAGATTCAATAAGAATTTATGTTGAAGAGCTGAGGATAGCCTTATTTGTTTACTTTTGCTCTATGGTGAAAAATGATGGCCAGAAATTCAAATTTCACAAAATATATTTTGATTGGTGTAGTACTACGTTTCAAATTTTATGTACTTTCCTGCTAAAAGCATCCAGACACCCCATGAACTTACCTCTGCAAAGGTCCCTTACATTTTTAATAGGGATGATCAAAAGCATACATTATTAGCTGTGCTGTTTATGATATTGTAATGTATACATCATTTAATAGCTGTACTGATCGTCATATTGCATTGAACAGAAAAGCTTTAGTGACATCATCTGAGACCTAGAATCCTATACTGAAAAGGTGGAGGGGCCAGTGTAGGCACTTAACAGTGAAATCAAATGGAACGCAACCACCTAGAAACAACTGGTGCGCACAGAGACAAAGCCAAAGCACACATGTGGGGCACCATACTACTTCTGGAACAGGCATGCTTTTTCCCCTGTAAGAAGGAAATGATCCTGATGTGGGTGGAAAAAAAAGGATGTACACAAGCTTAATACATTCCAAGAGGTGCAATTCATAGTAAAATGGCACAAGTTCAAATTGTCCTCCATCACACACACAAGACTGGAAATCAGCCAGCTCCCTTTGGTAAAGAACTGCTCTATGAAAGGAAAACCCAAAGCAAATTTGATGCCCACATGAGGAGAAATGGCAAGTAAAGGGACAGTTCATCAAAATATATACAAGAATGGAGAAAAATAACTAGCCTTGGCTAGGTATCTACCCAACCTAAACTGGACAGAGAAGGTTCCACAGCCCATCCTCAGCATTAAGAAGTTGAGGATCACCTAGATAAAAACGAAGTTAGACTAACAAACATTGTAGCTAGAGCATATGGAGTGTGTGATATACATACACCAACCCCAACTGTAAGTTGACAGAGCATCATATGCCAAACAACTGGTAATATTACGAAAAGGACAAACTGGACAAACTCCCAAACCCACCATAGGAGCAAAATGTACAACAAACTGAAACCAGTATTATGGAGTCATGTTGTTGCCTGAACTCAATCATAAGAACAGGGCAATACCTATAACCAGTATTAAGAGCAGAAATTCTAACTCACCCAGCTGTAAATGCAGGGAAGACACATCCTGCATCCAGGATTATGTATAGGATGTGGAACACTTGCTCAACTGTAGGAACAGTGTACATACATCCCATTGCCAGTATTACAAAGCAAAAGAAGTCCCCCAAATTCAACTGTAGGAGCAGGGAAGGAAACCTACAGCAACAGGAATTAATGAGAAGGGGGCCTCTACTGCATTCAACAGTGGGAACAGGGCAGTGTCAACTGGAACCCAGTATTACGAAGATGATCCCGAGTAAGCTGGTCCTGCTCCAACTGGCAATCAGTCCATCTGGGAATAAGCATTCAGGGGAAGGGAACCCAGCTTTGCCCTCTTCTTACTGAGTAGATAAATGTGTGGTTGTATTTTAAGGTAAGTTTCTACTTCACACTCAGGAGGGAGCCTCTTTGGTTCACCACACCAGTGACTGGAACTGGTAAGGACTCCACTTAAAGAAAAAAGGGGGAAGTAAATGTGGTGGGGAGTCAGGAGGAATATCACACTGGAGAAAGTGCAATGGTTGTCCATGATTCCTTATTTTGAAAAGCAGACTATCCCCGATGTATGCAATCAAAGGGCCAGCAGGGATAGTCAAAAGTCTTCTTTGGCTTTATTCATGATAGTCCATGAGTGACAGTCCACCACTAGAGATACATAAGTATATACCACTAGTTGTTTTGCAGAACATCCAATCTATACACTGAGCATTATAGCTCCACTGGTATATAGTGCAGGTTTGAGTAAAAACACACCTGACTAGGCAACACTTTGCCACAAAGTGGGATCCTATGTGTAGTGGTAAAAGAGGGTCCCTGAAAAGAAAATATAAATGAAATGTTGTGAAAAGACATACCCCAGTCAAAGGCAAATGGACATTTGTAAAATTGCCACAGGAGGGATATGATATCCACCTGAGAAAGATACAGCCAGATAGTGCAGATAATGAGTGACTAGGGAACAGGGAGTAATCCACATTCCAGCCCTAACAATTTCTTCCAATGGATGGCAAAGACAAGCAGCCAAAGACATGGTGATATGGCAAATTTGAGGAAAGAAACATCAAGGAGGCAGTAACCTTCTGTGGTTAAGTCTGAATATGCCAGCCTAAGGAGTAGATAAACCCAACCAGTTAGTGTGACAGGGGATAAAGTGTGGGAAACAGAAGTGTTCCAGGGAATAAAAGGTCAAAAACATGAACCTCAAAAGAAGGTAGTATGTGCCATATAACACAACAGAGAACAAACTTGACAAGGAAGCTGATCGGGAATAAAATTGGGGTACAATTAGGAGATGGAAGATAAAGGAATGGGTGTGAAAACCAAATGGCCTACCCAGGAAGAAGGACCAGTCTGGATATATGATGACATAAGAGAAATGGTAGAGGATTCTGGTAACATTAATAGCATAAAAATCTGATCGATGATGTTCGCAAGCTAGGAGTAGGAATTATCAGCATTTTAAGAGAAGTAATTGTATGCAAACACAGTAAAAGAAAACTGTTAAAAAAGGTATTGAAATGTTAAAGAAGTACAATCGCAAACAATAGTCACATTTGAAAAACACACATCTAACCGATATGCCAGTTGAGAAAATGAGCAATGAGCAGGAACATTAGAGGGAGCTAGCTGTACCAATACAGGTAGCACAATACTACTAGTGGAAGGTGGTCACATGTTATATACATGTTCAAAAGTGGTGCAAAATGTTTGAGGTATACAGATGGTGCACTGAGCATTAAAATTTTTTAGCAATGCTTAGGAGACAGAAAGAAGATTGAGACAGCTTTGTGTGAGCGGAAGAAAGACCACATCAGAAACAATTTTCAGGAGAAAGCATGCCATGTAACCAAGGAGGAGATGGTTCACAGAACCAAGTCCAAAAAATCTAGTTGCATCAATCGCATCTGCATGGGACTGTACAGCAAAGGAAGGGGGAGGGAAAAGGTTGTCTAAGTCTTCATCTTCCTGTCAATCATCCTGGCGAATTATTGCTGAAACTTCCTTTGCCATTAAGTTGGTCACACCAGATGTCACAGCAACAGGTGGTTGATCTAAGGTAGTAGTAGAAGCAGTTGAAGAAGTCATAAGAATAAAATTGCAAATTCATAATTGAATTTGAAATGGGTAAATAACCCAAGATGGAAAGTTTAGGTAAACAAAAAAAAATTTACAAAATAGAAATGCTTTTAAACTACCAAAGATGACAGTTACATATAAAGAACTAAGAACTAAACTATGAACAAGTTTAAGCAAAATTCGAAATCTCAAAGCTCGGTGAGCAGTAAGTCTAACCACTTGGATACCAAATCAAAAAGTGAGGTTAGACTCTATAAATCAAGGATAGAGATAGCTGCGCAAGGAGAATGTGTCATACTCCTATTGGTCGATGGTTTTCACATAATTATTTACATGCTACAACACATATGTATGAAGGCTAGTGGTGATCATACAGAGGGCAGTAATAATGAAGAAAAGTTTTTATGTGAGAATAGGTAAGGTATTATATCAAAAATTTTAGTATATTATTGTTTTACATATAAAAATTGACTTACAGCCTGATTTAAGGATTTTAAGTTTTATTTTTAATAAAAGAACTGATACACCTATATATTTTCAAAATATTCATACAATAGATATTAAACACAAAAATATTTGAATTTTTAGGTCTTTACTCCTAAGCCACATCATGTTGGAAGAGGCTCATGGAATCTGAAAGTGTCAGACACAACTCTCCACACACTTCCATCATTTCCCTGTTTGGCTGTCAACAGGAAGGACTCGGAAAACTTGCACCTGTTCTTCCCAGAAAACTTTATATTCCCAGCAGCATGAACAAGGATTGTTGTCTGCCCTTGAACAAATTCATCTACGATGGAAATAATGTAGTATTTTATTCTACCTTAAGACTATGTCTCTCAGGCCATAGTTAATCAATGTGGAAAGTTTTTCCATAAACAAGTACATATATACACTAACAAAAAAATAGTTATATCAACTTAAATAATTATTAGGATAATGAAATATAAATAACTATTTAGTAATTAATCATTCAAAATCAAAGCAATGAAACTTTATTGCAATAACTAATATAAACCTTACTAGGTAATACAAGCCAACTATAGAACAATAATCCAAATTCAAGTTACCTTTTAGTATTAATCCAAAAGAGAAAAGTTATTTTTTTTTAATCTGCACATAAACCCACCTAAAATTGGCTGAGCATCTAAGCTAAGAAGATCACTTTCACTAGCTGGGAGATTTTGAAAAAACTTTCCAATATTTTCTCTTCCAGTGACATAGTTTCCATTCCAGACAACGTTTCCAGACTGTTCATACAAGTTGGAAATTAGCTAAAAAATGTGGAAAAATCAATACAAGTTTAATATTTCAAAGACATTTCTGTTCACACTTAAATATTAGCATTTCAAAACTTTAGCTCATCATCAGAGAAAGATAACCAAAAATATAAAATGGATACTTATTTCACTTTTTTTAAATTAGTAGCACATGTTAACTTAAACAAACAATAAAATCTCCTACGATTCCACACGTATTTGTTGTTCGAACAGATTACTGGAAAATTTAATTTCAACTTAGATGAGTTTTAGGTATTAAACTATTTGTCACAAAATCATATTAAATAAACCCATTTTCCTAAACATAACTACTTGTTTAATAAGTTGAGCCAAGTTTTAGAAGGATTCTATCATTTCACTTTCACAAAGCTTCATTCAGTCTATTATAACCATCACTGAAAATAAAATACTAAAATGTGTTGCAAATAGCATCAGAACAAGATTATAATTAAGTTCTACCAAAAATTGGGAGGATTATATCATTCCTTTGCCATAAATCAGTCTAACAAAAAAACACTGAAAAAAATGAGTGAAAACTATCAAATACAGATCAAGATGAGATGATTAGTAAGTTCTGCCAACAATTCAAAATTCCCTTGTCACAGAACAGTTTCACTCAATCTGATAAAACTTGTTATGAAAATATCAGTAGAAGCTGTTTAAAACAGCATCCACAAGAAACATTGAACTCAGCACATAGAAAAAATAACATTAATATTTCAGAATTGAATTTTAGTCACTGCTTTAACATTGTTATCCAATATCCACTAATTATTATAGATATGATGCTGTGCACATACAAATATCCGAATAAGGAGAATGAAACCAAGTGGTCAACATTTCAGACAAACATCATCATGGATGAGGGGTCTGCCTGACACACTAATTTCATATTTTAAATTTGTAATGTTTAATTTTTGTACCTTCAGATAAATCTACACTTGTTTCATATTACTGTTACACTGTGTACACTAAAATGTCTTTTATACTGAAATATGATCTTGGAATTATGGTTTTATGGCACCAATACATGTTACTTATTTATAATAAAATTTAAACATCAATGCTTTTTAATAAATTCTAGAACCTGAAAAATTAAAGAATGTCCAATCTATATTAAAAGAGGATTGCTATTTAATTTTCTTGCATGTGGTGAAAGTAACAGACCTGAGTCAAAACTAGTGATGATGCAAAGGAAAACTGGTAGGGGGCAATTGCCTCCAGGTGATACCCAAAGGGTGGCGCCATCTGGTGCTAGTCACCAATTTTTTAAATATTATATTTTATTTCAGATATTCATTTAATATTTGTATCCTTTTATTTATTGATTTAATTTTTTAAAATTTTCTTGCAGTTTTAGATACAATTTTCTCATTGAATTTCCATAGTAATTGGACATAACTCTAAAGACCTAAAATGGCATCCAAAAAATTTTCCACAAGGTCATCAAGTGTAGGCCTACAACATCAACTATTGTTCAATATAAAGTTTAATTTTACTTACAAACATAAAACCACCCATTAAAGATGATTGGAAAGAAATTTAGTGGAATTCAGAAAATAAAACAAAGTTAAAGAATGTGTAGAAGCGAAAATATCAAGTAAATTAATGACTGCTTTTTAGAAGGGGTAAAAAATGAGTAAGAAAAAAGATGATAAAGAGGAAAGTCCAGATTCACCAAAGTCAAGAGACAATGAAAGGGGAGAATATCAAAATAAACAATGGAAATGTGGAAGACCCAGGTGAGAATGCTGAGTAACCAGAGAAGAGCTAGGATGAGAAAGAAGAGATAACTGGTGAAGACAACAATTTCAGTTGCAGTGTGACTGAAAGTGCCAAAGCTGATTCTGATCTGAACTTTACTCAACCAGCTGTCCTGATTTTCAAGGATGTTGGTTACATTAAATTTTCATCAAGTGGGTAACCTTGTATTGAATAATCTCTTAAAAAGGTGATGTTGAAACTTTGGGCTAACTCCTTCCATAATGCAGGTGTTATCCTCCACAGAGTACAACACTGAATACTGGACAAAGGCTGTGAACCGAGGGTTGACCAAAAAATAGTTCATCAAAGACCTACATAATGGAGAACTTGTTCCATGCACACAGCTAACATATTCAGTGATGAAAGAAGCCACAATCTGTTTCCATTGTTTACTCTTTTCATACAGTCCCTCAAATTCAAAATTGGCCTCTGAATTGGAATCTGGTCTATCCAATTGGAAGAAAATAGAGAACCTGAAAAATATTGAGGAAAATTCATACCATTGGAGGGCATTCAACAAATGGAAAGAGATGGAGCGGGTAGTGACAGAACAAGGTGGGGTGTATGAAGTCTTAAACAAGCAAATTTGGGACGAACGATATCATTGGAGGGAGGTTTTAAGGAGACTTCTGGACGTGATAAAGCTCCTCTCTTTACACAACCTTGCTTTAATAGGTCACGTAGAGAACATGGACGATCCTATTCCCAGAGATTTTCTAACAGTTCTTGTCAACTATGATCTAGTGATAGCCCACCATCTATTGAAAGGTCGAGAAAACCCACACTCATTGTCCTATTTATCACACAACCTCCAAAATGAATTCATTTCTCTGTTATCCAACACAGTTAGAAACAAATCATAGGTGAGATCAAGGAAGCAAAATACTTTGGTATTCTTTTCGACTCAACTACTGATACGTCACACACAGAGCAACTGTCCGAAATAATTCGCTATGTCCAACTTAATTTAGACATTGATGAAGTAGTTACATGGGAAACATTGTCAATTTCTTGGAACTTGAGAAGATTGAAGCTACTGGATATGAGGACATAATCAGTGAGAAAATTTGTAAATATGGGTTGGATTTTTTTGACTGTTGGGCTAAAATGTATGACAACACAGCTGTTATGTCAGGATATCTCAGTGGCATTCAAGCAAGGTTCTGTGAGAGAAACTCCAAGGCAACGTTTATAAATTGTGACAACCGCTCTTTTCACTTGGCAGGAATACATACAGCATCCGTTGATTCCTTCATAATGAAATTCTTTGGAGCAGTAGAACAAATATATGTCTTCTTCTCTGGATCAACCACTCAATGGAAGAAGATGAAAGAAAAACTGAACTTAGTTGTGAAAAAAGAATCTTACACTTATTAGAGTGCTATAGAAGGGGTGGTGTACATAATTGTAAGTTCATCTGAGGATCTTATTAAGCTTCTTCAATCTCTGAATGAAGGTGAACTAGAGACAGCTGATACAAGAGCAAAAGCTGGGACACTCTTTAACAGTCTTCTGGCTTTTCATTTTGTTTATTTCTTACACTTTTGGAAACAGGTCTGACAAAATTTCAATGTTGTTGAAAAATGTCTCTGAATTTGAATTAGCAATAAGTTGATCTCTTCACAATTAACAATGGCCTTGAGTTTGCTGAAACATGGGACATCACTACTGGTAGATGTGTTAGACATAGACACAATACCTGGTGAGGAAGCAACGGATTAGGGACTAACTCTTGTGCAAGATATAAGCAGGATAATAAACCTCGCTTTAGGCAGACTGGTTCATGAAATCCAGGATTGTAGCAAATGATTTCAAGATATGAATTGGATGTCAAATCCCTCATCAGTGGTGACATTGATCTAGACACACTGCTACTCAGGTGTGCTGATTTTGCCAATACATATGAATATGATGTCATGGGAAAGCCACTTTATCAAGATATATTGGATTGCCATATGCTGTTTTGGAAATAACAAAATTCAGAAGCTTCACTACCAGAAACTCCAAAAAAGTTGCTGAAGGCAATAGGGGAAAGATGTTTTTCCAAACCTGTGAACAGCCTTGCAAATTTTATAGACAATGCCTGGTTCTGTTGCACATTGGAAGAGATCTTTCAGTAAGTTAAAAATCATAAACATAAACTTAGCCATTCTTTTGATCGAGAAAGAATCTTTTGACCATATCATTGACCAGCTTACTGCAAAAAAGGCACAAAAATAGAACATCTAAACACCAATAAACAAAATGGCCAAGTTTCCCATGCAACCTCTGAATTTTTCAAGCTGGAGCTTATATTGGCTATGTGATTTGTGTGATATAAATGTATGTTTCTATCTGAGAAATTTGCTTTGTTTTAACTATATGCTTTGTGGTGCATGTGTGGTTCATTAATGGAATTACAAGATGACAGATGAGATGGCATGAGGTGGAAGGCCATGTGTTTAAATTTAGGTGAATGGGATGTTACAGAGTACTATTTTTTTCATGCAGACAGGGGAGCCAAAAAAAAGCACTGTTCCCAGGCACAGCAAATCCAAAAGCCACAAATGGACTAAATAGAACATTTGTTCACATAACATCCGATGAAATACTTCAAAACAGAATGTGACTAAATAAAACACTACAGTATAATGTGACTACACACAACAAAACATTAAAGAACATAGTAACTCTATACAACAAGACATTCTAGAAAACAGTGTGTCTGTAGACAACCAGACATTCTAGAAAACAGTGTCTGTATACAACAAAATACTCCAGAACAAAATGTGACTGCATACAAGAAATTACTCCACAATATGATGGATTTATGAAACATAAATCTTAGTCGTACTGTACACAAGTTAACCACATAGACAATAAATATCATTTTCTTTATTTTTGTTGAACATCACTTGTTATTACTTGATGTTTCAGAAGTTACTAATTACATCATCAGCAATGTTAATTCAAATCATAAAATCATTCAACACATTTTAAGTCCTAGTGCATCATCACTTCTTAGCTGAACATTTTTTAATCAACTGTAATTAAAATCATGTACTTACTCTTCTAGACTATGCTTTTAAAATCTAGTTCAATTACAAAAATCTACACAAAGAAATAACCTTTACAAAGAATATCTTAAAAGATAACAGTTTTCCTGAAACCCTACTACTTAAAATAACTTGTACTTTATGCAACAACAAATATGAAAAGCTCTCAACAATGCCAACTGTTCAACGCTATCCCATTACTTGGGGAAAATAGCAAAATGTTAAAGCTTGATGGATGGTTTAAGTCATGTATATATATATAATATACGAGGAAGTTTCTTTATTGGTATCAACAGTCTGTGGTAACAATGGCTGATAAATTTTGGCATTTCAGTTAACTTCCCCTTCCTATCTTCAGGGAACCTTAAGAGAACACATTACAAAATTAATCAAATCATTTTACACACAGGTTAAATTAAGAATAATATTAAAGTTTGATTGATGAACCCCTTTAAGAATAAAAATTTCATTTCAACCCTGTTATGTCCATGAATCAATTACACTTATATTGGTAAACAAATTGCCATTTACATGTCTGAACCCATGCAGACGAAAGACGTTCAAAACGTCGTCCTCTACACTTGTTTTTTTTACAACAGACAGTTGCTGTCCATTCCAGTATATTCCATTGTTATAGTATGAATAGCATTCACTTTAATGTTTGTTTTAATTAAAGAATTTTCAGCTAAGGGTGATGATGAAGTATGATTCAAAATGCATTAATTTGTTGTTCTGAAATAAATGTGCTGATGATAGAACTGGCATTCATCATCTCTGTGCCCACTTTAATATAATAAGACTGAATAATACAATTTCACTATATAAAACAAACCCCTCTAGAACAGTGTTTTTCAACCATTGGTCAGTGGACCAGTGCTGGCCTATCACAACCACCTTGATCCATGGGATTTCATGAAAATGAACAGACTAAAGCTGATAAAATATTCATACATAAATTGTAATGTTTTTTTTATTGTATTTGCCTTTTAGTGGTCTACAACAGTTTAGGGAGGCAGCAAGCCAGTCCCTGGTATCAAACAGGCTGAGAAATATTAATCTAGAACACAATGGCTGTATATACAAACAAACACTCTAGAGTACAATGTGACTGTATACAGCAAATCCCTCCAGAATACACTGTGACAGTACGTAACAAAACACATCAAAACAACTTATGACTACAAACAACAAAACATTCCACACTACAGTGAGACCATTTTTTTCACCTACAGAATCATCATTGTTACACAAAATTTAGAAACAACTTCTTTATCTACAAATTCATGAATGGTACACATATTTTAAGAGAAAGTTTTTCACCTAGAAAACCATGAATGTTAGAGAAACTTAAAAATCTCTTAACCTACAAAACAAGGAATATTTTATGCATTTATAGACAATTTTTTCAGTTACAGAACAATAAATGTTGTACAGGTTTTACCAACAATATCTTCATATACAAAGTCATGAATGCAGAACAGAATTTTAAGACAATTTCATCACCTACAAAGTCAAGAATGTTGTAGAGAACTTAGAGACAATTTCTCCACCTACATGCCGCTGCTTGTCAAATTTCTCATAGTAGATTCTGGCAAATTCTTCTCCAGACTGACAAGCCTGACTTATTTGTGTTTTCCTGTCCTTTAAAAAACAAAACAAAAACAAGTTAACCTACTGTTGAAACAACTAAAAACATTAAAAGTATTACAGATTAAAAAGTTCCTAAAAACATTCTATCTCAAGCTAAGAGTAGCTTTCATATTCTTTTCTGTATTATATAATAAATCTGTGAGTAAATGGTTCTTTAAAATTTCTCTGAGCACAGAATATTTTGCAATTACTTCTGTGAGTGCAGAATTCCTTAACATTTCAAAGTTTACAATCTATGCATCAATAATCCCTTAACACAGGCCTTGACAAATATTTTCAGATTTAGGAGTCAGCCCCAAAACTCAGGAATCAGATGTGCCTAACCTAACTTCCCTACTGTTTGTACCGGGAAATGTGGGATAAGTATAATTTATTTACTCTCACAGTAACAAGTGCATGCTATCGATCACATGATATCAACAACCACATGATAGTATTGCCTGAACTAACTGCCTCTGCTCTCATCTAAGTTTACAGATGGGGGGGGGGGATGTGGATAACTTGGGGAGTCCCAAGGAATGATACTCCAGAGACAGTGCAATTGGTGAATCACAATCCCTATTTTCAAAAGCAAAACGATCCCAATTTATTCCATCCAGGGGTCAGCAGGGATGGGGAAAATCCCCTTATGCTTTACTCATAATAGTCCATGAGTGGCAGTCCAGTAGTGTATATAATTGTTTACCACCTGGAAAGCCACAAGGTGGTTTTATGGAAAACCCCATCTCAACAGAGCTTGTTTCTACTATGAAAATTTTTTATCGGTCTACTGGCAGCTAGTGCGGATTTTGAATGAAGCATACCTGGCCAGGCAACACCTGCCACTGAGTGGGATCCAAATCAGAATGACGAGAGGGTCCCTAAAAAAGAATAGAAACAAACACAAAAGAAATGAAGTCACTCAACTCTCTCACAATCTAACTGGGACATATAGAATAGCCACAGGAGGTAACCAAAAACCATTTGAGGAGGCAACTACCAAATCATGTAAATAATGAGAAATAAATGTATTAAGCATGGTCCACATACCAGACTATACAATCTCCTCCAGCGGGCGATGCAACAAAGCCACCAGGGATATTGAGATATGGTGAACTTGTTGAGATGATACCCAAAAAAAAGCCTCCACTCCTCCAATGAAACTACAAAGTAAGCAATATGAACCAATTGATGAACCCAACCTGTAAAAGTGACAAGTGATAAGTCATGTGACACTGTAGAATCCCAGTGGAGAAACAAATGGTGACATGAGCCCCGAAACTCTTCAGTGTGTGCAAAATAACACCAGAGAGACTGGATCAGAGCAGTCATAAAAATGAGAGTTGGAAGGAAGATAAATAGGAGAAAAAGCCTTATCTCCTTCTCTACCTGCTGAACATAAGTGGAATGGTAAAGAGTCCTGTGAACATGAATCACAAACACATCTTAAATGGAAAAGGTACTATGTGGGAGTAAGAATAGACTTCCCCTTTTTGATGATAAAACCAGCTCTTGCAGTTTCGGATAAAAGAGCTCAAGTGTGAAGTCCTGCCAAGTGGCGAGAAGGAGTGAGATGAAGACAGTCATCCATATAATGTGAATGCCCAATAAGTGAAGATGATTTGAAAACTCTGCAATTGGAATATGAAGATAGGCATCAGTGACATCAAACTTAGTCATCCACAGACTGGGTGAAAAGAGCCACCGAATGGAAAGAAATTACTCCATCGTAAACTGAGGAAGATGGAAGAAATGACTGAGATGAGAAAGGTTGATGACAGGTTGACAATCACTATCTACTTTGGAACTACAAACAGACAGAAATACAAACTCTTGAGAAAGGAGTCAATGTGCTCTTCAGCCACTTTGTGCAGAAGATCCTGAATTGTGGATGTAAGAGGATCCTTGGAAAGTGGAAAGACAACAGGTATGAGAGAGAATGCAGGAGGAGATGTGAAATGAAGAACTAATCCTCTCATAAGAACATGAATGACTCAATGATCTGAGGTGAAGGTCTCCCATACTGATACGAATTGTCCGAGTTGAGCCTTCACAGGACTGGATGCCATAGGGTAGTCACAGACACCATTACCATTGTCTGCACTCCACACGAGAGGCTAGGATCAAAAGACAAGAGTGGAGACAGTCCACATCCACCCTAGATTCCTTGGAATCTAGAATACCTGCAAGAATCAATTGTCTGAGAAAAGAAGCTTCTCTGAGATCTCTATGGGGAAAAAAAGGAAGTCAAACCCCCTCAAGCAAGGCATCTCTATCCAAAAGAGCCCAGCAACAAACCTACCAAGAGACCAAGGAGAGAGCAGAAGCCGATAACCTTACCAAAGTAGAAGTCAATAAATGACAAGATCCTCTGAAAATTGAGCAGATGATCTGTGATAGACCTTAGACAACAGTTACAAAGAAGATAAAAAATGCAAAACTATTTTAAATGGAAGGACAAACTTGGGAAAACTGAGTATGGTTACAACAAATAGTGGCATCAGGCATGGAACCCCAAATAGGAAGATGAGAATCTAACTTCTCAGAATCCAAATATGGGTTCTCCAAGCAATGGAAAGCTAAGGCATGTTGATCTGACAAACAAGGAGGAAAAGGCATGGCAACACCCTCTCTCAAGTGATCATCAAATGTCCTAGCATGCACAGCAATGTCTGGCAAAAGTAGAAAGACCAGGTAATCAGCCAGATGACTTTCCCCTAACAAAGAAGAAGAGTCGTAAGCTACAGGAGAAATAATGAATCTAAGTTTCAAATGGACAGCAACTGCCTGTTGTAGAAACGTT